TTACTCTGGGCTCCATACTCTGTTCCTCTGGTCTGAATGCCTGTTGTTAATGCCAACTCCATACTTTACTTTTGTAACTTGGAATCAGTAAGTGTGATGCCTCAACCTTGTTTATTTTTCTCAAAATTTCTTTAACTATTTAAGGCCTTTTGTGATGCCATTCCTGTGGAAAATGTCATCAGAATTTTGATAGGAATTTCAGTGAATTTGTGGATCATTTTATATACCATGAACATTTTAACAATAATTAGTCTTTGAATCCATAAATGCAGATTAACTTTCCATTTATTATTTATTAGCTTCTTCAGTTTTGATCACCAATGTTTTATAGTTTTCAATTTACTGATTTTTCATGTCTTTGATTAAACTTATTTATAAATAATTTATTTTTGATATCATAACAAGACTATTTTAAAAATTTTTTACTTTGGATAATTTTTTTAGTATGTAGCAATTTTTGCATGTTGATTTTCTATTTTGCAACTTTTTTGTTCATCAATTCTAATGGATTTTTTTGGTGGAGTCTTCAGGGTTTTCTATATAAATAGTCACGTCATAAGAAAACTTTACTTCTTCTTTTCTGATTTACATTCCTTTTATTTCTTTTTCTTGCCTAACTGCTTTAGCTAGAAATTCTACTACCAGATTAAATAGAAGTGGCAAGAGAAGGCCACATTCTGTCTTGTTCCTGATTTTAGAGATAAAGTTTTCATCTTTTCATCATTATCATATTAGCTATGGATTTGTTGTCATATATTGCTTTTATTATGCTGAGGTACATGCCTTCTATACCTAATTTGTTCAGATTTTTAATTATTAAAGGATGCAAATTTTAGTATAGGCTTCTTCTGTATCAATTGAAATGATCACATGACTTTTAATCAATTTCTGTTATATTTATTGATTTCCACCTGAACGATAAATATCAATTGATCATAGTGGATGATCTTTTTAATATGTGTTGGATTTTGTTTGCTAGTATTTCACTGAAGACTTGCATTTATAATCATCAAGGATGTTGGCCTATGATTTTTCTCTCCTTTTGGTGTCCTTATCAGATGTTGAAATCACGGTAATGTTGACTTTGTGAAATGAGTTTGGAAGTACTCCCTTCACTTCATTTTTTTGGAAGAGTTCAAGTAGAATTTTAAACTTTCGTTATAATTCAGCTGTGATAACATCGTTTCTGGGCTTTCTTTTGTTGTCAGATTTTTGATTAGTGATTCAATATCCTTACTATCCTTACTCATTGTTGGACTGATCAGATTTTCTATTTCTTCTTGATTCAGTCTTGGTACATTTGTATTTCTAGAAATGTATCCATGTCTTTAAGGTTATCCAATTTGTTGGAAATAATTTGTTCTTAATGATTCTTTGTATTTCTATGGTATTTGTTGAAATGTCTCTTCTTTCATTTGTAATTTTATTTCAGACTTTTCTCTTGTTTTCTTTATCTAGCTAAAGTTTTGTTGATTTTTTTCAAAAGGCCAATTCTTAGTTTTTAAAAAAATCTTATATATTGTTTTTCCATTATCTGTTTCATTTATTTCTGCTCTGCCCTTTGCTCCCTTGCATTCTTTCTCCTTTTTTTTTTTTGTCCTGTGAGTGGGCAATATCAAGTGGCCTGTCTTCAAGTTCACAGATTCTTTCTTCTCCTTAACTTAGTCTACTACTGATGCTTTAGACAGTATTTTTCATTTATTTATTGTAATTTTTCAATTCCAGAATTTCAGTTTGGTTTCTTTTCATGGTTTCTCTCTCTTTGTTGAACTTTTCATTTGGTTCATGTATTGTTTCCCTGATCTTTTGTTGTTGTTCTATTGCCTACTTGTGTTCAAGAGGCCCAAAACATAGTTAAGCTCTCTTTAAACAATTATTTAGAATTCTTTGTCAGGCAAGTCACATATTTTCATTTCTCTTGGATTAGTTACTGAATATTTATTGTCATCTTTGGTGGTATCATATTTCTTTGGTTTTCTTTTTTCCTTGAAGTTTTGGGTTGCTGTCTTTAGATTTGAAGGAGCGCCATTTCCTTTATTTTCAGGACAGAAACACCTTTACTAGTCAGCCTCACAAGGGATTCTGAGACTGTCTCAGAACTTTTCTATAGATTTTCCCATTCCATACTTTTTATTTCTTCTTGAGGAGGATTCTTAAAATTATATACCTTTTCTCGATCTCAGAAAGATAACCTGGGATGCTTAGAGTCTATCTTTCGTTTTTCCTAGGGCAATGCCTTATTTGTGTGTCTTCTAATCCTGCAGAGCCAAGTTGGTTGTGCATGCTCATAAACTGTCTGAAGAGGCTCACTCACTGTCCATGGAGCCATATGCACAGGGCCAGCCACCACAGTGGTGCAATGAGATGCAAAGAATGTTGAGAGTGCTCATGGGGGAGGGGCCCATAAGTGAGGCCACCCAAGCACGCCAGAATTCCTAATGGGGCCTCTTATCTATTAGTAAGATCTGTGACCCTTGGTTGAGTTCTAACTCCTGATTCTTGTGAGTCTCTGCCTCTCTTCCAAGCTCAGAGTTTCTCCTAACCACTAGCTGTACTGCTCATATCTGTTTTCTGTGTGAGGATAGAAGTGGCCCTCCTGAGCAGCATCCTGTATGGCTGGGAAGCAGGTTTGCTCAGTAACTGTGTTGTCACTGTCCCCTTGTGTGAAATAATGGGCCCAAGAAGGTCTCTCTTGGCATTGAGCTATATGACTTTGGGAGGGAGTGGCACAGGTAAATGAGTCAGCATCTCTCTGATTTGCCCCCCCCTCCCACTTACTCTCTTCAGTGGCTTAATGGTGGGCTGAACCTGGGTATTATCATCCCCATTTTATGAATGCAAGAACTAAGATTCAGATTCACTAGTTTGCTCAAGATTGCACATCTTGAAAATAATGAAACAAGACTAGAGCCTAGGTGTTCTGATCCCAAGTTCAGGGCTCTATACACCAACAAAAGAATTAATAGGAAACAGAATGAACCTCCACTTTTTCTGTATTTCCTTCTATCATGACTCTGACTTTCTGGCACTCTACATAAAAGGGAAATGACTTCTTATGAGTACTAAACCATTTCATGCAGAAATAATCAATATTATCTGCGAATGATTGTATGATCAGGCATCCAGTTGCATTTGGAATTTTATGAAATAATGCAAAAGATTCTTTTCATATTCAATTTTCCAAATTTAGTATCTTATCAGAACAGAGGATTATAATAAGTTTGGTAGTGAGATAATAAGAAGGCCACAACCCCTGCCTTGGAGAGTTTGAGCATGTAGTTAGGAGAAGGCACAATTAAATGGTCCTGGGCAGGGCAACACATAAAAAACCTACACACACACACACAAGCTAATGAACTCTGTATGTGTATACTGAAAAAATGGAATAAAAAGAAAAGGTGGAAGATTTCTAAAATTAAGTTAGTAAAAGAGATTAACTTTAATTACATGGGGAAGAAAATGGGCAAATATTCTAGTATGTGAAACGTCAAGGAAATAGAATCAAATGCCTTATCATTGTGCACTGAATAAGGCATACATTATTGGTGATTTGTATTAATATTTCCTTATGATTATGGGAGATAGTTACATATTTAAATCAACTTGCCCCAGTGAGTGATTGGTACTGCTAAAATAAGTGATATTTTGAAGACAGTTTACATCATGAAACACTAAATCAGTATATTTTTCTATAATTACAAGCATTTTTGGATTCTTCTTGGACAAAGAGTAGAAACTAAAATATATTCTTAATGCTGGCTTCACAAATAATACCATAAGTAAGGCAAGGGACCTTCTCATTCCTCTAGTAAAGAGTACTTATTAGGAGGAGGAGGAGGAAGAAGAAGAAAAGGAAAAGAATTAATAACAGTATTTGCTGAAGGAGAATATGTAATTCCAATTTGCACAAGACTTCCAAATTTTTCTCAAATCAAAGATTAAGGGTGTTATTTTGCCCCACACCATAAATTTCAGGGAACATAAGCTCAGCCATTATGTAAGATCTACTGAGAAGTAAGGTAACTCTTTTCTTCAAAGGTGAGCCCTTATTTGACCATATGTATACATATAGTTTTTAAATATATGGACAAAGAGTAGAAAGTAAATATATTCTTAATGCTGGCTTCAATAGTCCACTAATATATCTATATCTATATCTATCTATCTATATATAGATAGATAGATAGATAGATTTTTTTTTTATTTTTTTTAACCAGGGAATGAATCCAGTGGTACTCAACCACTGAGACACATTTACAACCCTTTTTATTTTTTATTTTGAGACAAGGTTTCACCAAGTTGCTGGTGGCCTCACTAAATTGCTGATCTTATGATCCTCCTGCCTCAGCTTCCCCAGCCTCTGGGATTACAGGCATGCACCAATGTGCCCAGTTTTATATATATATATTTTTTAAATGCATCTAGTCTACTAGCACATATGTATGTGTGTGTATGTATATATGTATATACACACATATTATATGCCATATGTGTGTGTGTGTTTTTAAATGCACCTAGTCCACTAGCCAAGATGACAGACTATCACTCAGATTACCACACATATATTTTTCCCTACAACTACCACCTCCTATAAATGGTAGCATTTACATGAGACAGAAGCATCTCTTAGAATGACCAGAATACTTGTTTCAATAATCCACAAAGCCACAAAATGAGAAAGACTCTGAAGAGAGGAGTAGATTCAAACACTATTTAACTTTTCTCCCAGATCACTCCTGGGAGCCTAACACACTACCATATAGCACGGGCCTTTGTCCAGGCTTCTGTTTCCCACCTGTACTCCTTTTTCTTTTTCCAGCAACAGTCTGCCTTTGTGCCAATTCCTAAATAACCATAAATTTTGCTCTTATAAACCTTAATGAATGCTTGGCCAAGATGCTGTAACTATTGGCTTCTACATGGGAGCATAAATGGAATGGGGGAAAAAAAATGTGCACTGTGAAAAACTGGATAAAATGGAAAAAAGATCACAGCAAACCCAAAGTCGCAATTTGCCTTTAATGTGAAGGAGGCCTTGTTTTCACGGTGTGGCAGCTTTCAGGGGTTTTAATCTCAAAGTGGCTGATCAATTTAAGGTAAGTGGCAGGCATTTGGCCTGGTTCCCAGGCTTTGCTTTGCTGCTCTGAGAAAAGAAAGGATTCAGTCAGACACACAGACAACAGGCATCATCAGCGGCTCCCACATTCCAAGCATTTTAACACAGATTAGGTTGGCATGATTCTACTGTTTACTGAAATCTCCTAGGTGTTGCATTTTCCCTTCTCCTGGCCGTGGTTATGGTTATCCACGATGGTTTTCTCAGGTCGAGACCTTCATATGCCAAATAGCTTGCAGGGCTGTGAAGGGAAAAGAAGAGCAGAGGTCAAGACTTCTGACTATGATGCGATTTCACTGGCTCCCTGCAAAATATGAGACTTCAGTCAGCAGGTAATTGAGCACTGAACTTTTAGTCTGAGGCATACATCAAGACAGGAACTGTTTTACATGCATGCCTGAGGGGGAAAAAAAGAAGATAATTTCTTTAACAAGGACAAACTTAATTCAGCTAGGAATGCCCAGCGGATTAACAGGGTGATTTGTAGTTGTTTTCTCTTCAGATTTCAGAAGCAGGAGTCTTACACATATGTTAAACAAGATTATAACCAATATGGTCCTTTTTTTTTTTTTTTTGAGGAACATGTTCACATCATACACTCTATTTTTTCACAACAGCTAATAATAAATGAGTTCAAACAGGCCCCTTATCACTGTTTCATGTGCTTAGCAAAAAAGAATTTTCTTAATCCATTTGACCTATTACCTAAGTTAAATAAAATATTAATTCCGTTGATCAGAACCAAAAAAAAATGTATAAATTGTCTCGTGTATTTTGGCTATACCATTCTTTATGGAAATTTTATATTTTTAAATGTTTTTTTTCATAATTTTTAAAAATACTTTGTCTTACTTTAATATACTCATGTACATATTTCTCTAGTCATCTTCATGACAGATTTCCTATTTTTTCCTAAGAATTTTATCAAAAACATGAAACTACTGTAGATGTTTAAAATAATTTTTCGTCTATTAAACTTTTCAAAAGCAATGTCGAAATTATTATACTTACTATAACCATAAATGCCTTCTTAACATTTCATAAATTTACATTGACATACTTTCTCCAAAACTAACACATTGTTGTGTTCAAGCAATTTATATTAACAGTACATATTCTGTTTTGTAAGGGTTGATTTAGAAACTAATTATATGCATTTCTTTTCATTTCAGTTTTTACATATTCAAGTGTGACTTTAAATATATATATAATATATATATGTATATAATATATATATATAATATATATATATATAATATATATATATATATATTATGTTTAGTCAGCAAAGATATATATATATCTTTGTTGACTAAAGAAAAACACGGAGGTAGGTGAGAAGAAGCCAGCAGCAACCTTCAGCGGCAGCAGCAGATGTCAACATGTGATGTCTGGAACTCCAGCAGCCATCCTGCAACCATTTTCTTTTTATGTTGTTAGAAACACATGTTGCAATACTACCATTCCCTGGCCTTAAGATCCTTACTTGCTTAAATATTCTTAATTATTTCTTTGTTAACTCACTTTCTCTGTTCCCTATGGGTACTCTCTCTTCTCAAGTCTACACACTACTCTAAGCTCTGAAAATACTAAAATGAATAAGTCCAAATAGAATTCTGGCTTTACTGCTTACTTAAAATAATATTACCAAAATTATAATTTAGCTCCATTTGTGTACACTGTGTCAAAATGTATTCTACTGTCATGTATAACTAATTAGAACAAATTTTTTAGAATTTATAATTTATTGTGCCCCAATATGGCAAGATCTTGTATATCTCACTGAATTCTTGCAACAATCCTACAAGGTATTCTTAATGTCATTTTTACAAGTAATAAAAGGGTAGCTTAGGAAGATTCATTTTCCCCTTCTACAGATACAAAGGAGTGAAGCACAGATTTGAACCCAGATCAAAGTCTGACCTCTTAATTCTTAGCTACTATGCCTGTTTTACATCCTTAGAGCAATAACAGAAATAGCACTGCCATCAGACTGCTTGCAAAAGAATTAACTGAGACTTGAAAGTGATATTAACTACATATATTACCTACTTAAACGTAATACCTTCATAAATTTTTGCTACTCATTATCTTAATATCTCCCAAGTTCAACTATAAAGTATAAATATCACCTACTTTATAGAGTTGTTACCAGTATTACTTGAATTATGGCCTCAATGTAGGTAAAGTGGTAGTAGAGTAGACACCCAACATATATTAGCTCCCTTCATGATTTCCTAAGCTCCCCCTAATCAATTCAAATATTTGCTGCAACATCTGGATTGTTTTCATGTAATGCTCTCTCCGTGGGAAACCTCTTCCCCATCGTGCTTTCAACTATTGTCTATACACTGACTCAAAAATCCACATCTCCTGCTCATATCTTTCTCCCTACTTCAGCTTCCTGGATATGTCTTGAATGTTCCATCAATTAAAATGCTTTTTGTTGCCAGAAGACAGAGAATTCAATTCCAACTGGCTTCAGCAACTAAGATTTTACTTTCTTGCATTAATGCATCACTGAAATGTCCAGCGCTACAGCCCCATTTTTATTCATTCATTATTCATTTTCGGTGGTGCATTGTGCTGTCTTCCTATAACTTAGGGTTTCACTGTTAGTCCTGTTTTCCTCAAGGCCAGAGGAGAGCTGCCAGCAGACACTGAGTTCTATATTGCCTTATTCACAGGTAGAGAAAACTGCTTCCCTCACCTCTGGAGCCCCCGATATTCACTGTCTGAACAGCCCTGTATCAATCATTGTGATCAATAAAAAGGAAAGGGGAGAGAAGGGTAAGATAACATCAAGAACCAATCAAATACAAATTAATAGACAAGCAAAAGAAGTCTAGTAGAGTAGAAGAAGGAGAATGGGAGAGGGGCTTGAGGACTGGACGGAAAATGAGGAGGGAAAAGTGGGGGTCATGAACTGAAATCAATTTCCATGCAATGTATGAGTTTGCTGGGATGAACACAACTACTGTGTATAACTGGAAAGCTCTGATAATACTTTCAAAAAGAAAGGAAGAAAATGACAGATACTGATTGGCCTGGTTTTCTTCTTTTTAATGTTATGGTATTTTTTAGACCTTTATTTTATTTGTTCATATTTGTGTGGTGCTGAGAACAGAACCCACTGCCTCATGCAGGCTAGGAAAGCACTCTCCCAACTGAGCTGCAGCTCCAGCCCTTGTTGGCCTGGTTCTGAATCGCATGATGTCCCTGAACCTATTGGGATAACTGGGAAATGAGATTATCCTGATTGACTTAGCCCATCCAGGGCTGGCCTTCCCCCATACTGAGAGTCCTCTAATTCTGTTGGTCTAGAGAGTTCCTTCCCTTAGATAAAAAGTAAAGAAAAATCTCTCTGTGCAAGGTGGGATGTTCCTTCTATTTCAGGAGCACAGACTGTGGCCCTCCTGTTTATATATTTATGAGGTTGCTTCCTAATTCCTCCTAACCACTGTAATAACCTAGCTTATCTGCAGAACTTTTTTTTTAAGATGGACACAATATCTTTATTTATTTTTATGTAGTGCTGAGGATCAAACCCAGTGCCTCACATGTGCGAGGCAAGCTCTCTACTGCTAAACTATAACCCCAGCCCAGAACTTTTTAATAAGAAAGAAGGAAATGGAACTACCACCTCTTTTTGCCCCCTTACTGTTAATTTTAGCAAGAAGAATATATGTATAGGAGCATATATATATATATATATATATATATACACACACACACATATATATATATATACACACACATGTATATGTACATGTATAATTTTATGCATATGTATAAAATTATTTCATTAATCCCCAAAACAACCCAATGAATTAGGTAATATTATCCCCAGGTTACAGATGAGGAAACTGTCTATGATAGGATAGATAAAAGTTGAAAATCTTTTGCTAAAGGAAACAAAGAGTAATTATTTTAGCCTTTTGACCACACATCCTCTGGCATGACTACTAAGATCTGCCATTATAGCATGAATACAGCCACAGATAATATGTAAATTCCTGTGTTTCCTTAAAACTTTATTTACAAAAATAGATGACCATGGACCTTAATTGTCAATCCCTCACATGGTTAACTAGATTTTTTAAAACATCTTACTAAGAAGATAATCATTAAGCTATAGTTTACCAAGAAAAAATGTCTAATTAAAAACCATTGTTGATTTTAAAGCATTTTAATGAATTATGTTAATGGATTCCCTAATATTTAAACACATTTTTTTTCTGCAACAAACTTCATTTGGTTGCATCATATTCTTCTTTTAATATATTTTTATGCATAGGAGAGAAATTAAGGCACAGGATTAAAAGATCTAGATGCAGGACAAAAGGGAATTGTAAGTAATACTCTGCATGTGGTTTTGCTATGGAGCATTTCCTGATTTCTAAATGAACATATATGGGCAAGAGGGCAGAAACGAAGCAGAGTGTAGGTGTTAAAAGGCGAGAAAGCTAAACAGAGATTTAGGCAATCTCAGGGAACCAAGGAAACAAATATTGGCATTCAGGGACCATCAAGGAAAAGAGGGGCTAGGAAACTCCAGGCTTTCAGTTAAGGCAGTAGAAAAGATACACCCTAAAAGTGGGAAACTCAGAAATAGATTAAGATGCTAGATTAAGGTGTTCTGCACATTCAGTATCTTCTTTTCAGAAAAAAAATTAAATCTACTCTGGAAAAGATTACATCATCCAGAGAATCCACAATTTTTATATAAATTTCTGATAGTAAATTGCTTCCATGAATACCAGGAATCAGGCCCCCCTCAAAAAAAAATCAGGGAAAAAAACCAATAAAAATAGAATCATAGGTGATTCAGACAATGCAGTTATTAGACATTGATTTCAAAATCATAGCTATGATTAATATTTTGAAAAGGAAAGAGATGAGAAGATAAAGAGTTTCATGAGGGAATTAATTGAAACCTATTTTTTAAAAGTGTCAAACACTGCAACTGAACTTAAGGAGCTACTGCTTTGTGTACTTCAATGTAGTATCAAAGATGAATATTCACCATTTTCTGAAAAGACTATTAAAGCATTCTTCTCTTTTAAATTACACATATGTCTGAGACCAAATTCTTTTTTCAGATACCTCAATCAAAACAATCTAATCATGGCAGATTGAATACAGAAGATGTATGAGAATCCAGCTGTCCTCAATTAAACTGGGCAATAAAAAGATCTGTAAAAATGTAAAACAAGGTTACTTTTTGCACTAAATATTTTT